TCTCTCTCTCTCTCTCCATCTCTCTCTCTCTCTCTCACACACACCCCGCTCACAAATACACAACACACACACATGAACACATACAAGATTTCTCTCGTCGTCCCACTTCCACTAGTCATACGACCACAGCCGCCGTCGCCGCCCGTGCCACCGCGCCTCCACAAATGCCCATCTGCCTGCCGACGGTAACTTCTCCCAGCAATTCCGTCGCCGACGACGACGCCTCGATGTTGCGCCTCCCATCGTCATCGCCGCGCCTCCGTCGTCGCCGCTCGCAGCCTTCCGAACGCCGCCACACTATATTATCTTCATCCCCCAGTCTCCGCCACACCGGTCACCTTTGTGCGCAGGGGCGGATTTACTACCAAGACTACCTGGGCTACAGCCCAGGTGGGTTTATACACCCTACATGTATTTTATATTGCCATATTTTGGGTTTTTATACTTTAGCCCGGCCCAAGTTTAATAAATCCAAAAATAGCCTACCCAACCCAATATAATATACATCATAGCCCATTTAAAAGGTAAATCTCATCAAGTGATAAAAATAGAAGAATTTGCACGCTACTCGTTCACAATAAAAAAATATTACATAATTACCTCCACTATATAATTATTTATAAATTAACAAATTTGTTAAATTTATTTGCATATATATCTATAAAGTTGATTCCTATTTATATGGTAACTTCCCCCCTCTCTCTCTCTTTCTTCTTCACACGGCAGTCTCTCCCTCTTCAGTACAGAAAACCTTCCACCGTCTGCCTTCACAAGCTCAATATCCGTTCCAACTGATTCAGTTGACTCCTCCGATCCCACTTCACACAAGTCCGCCACCTCCTCCAATCCCCCTTCCGCCACCGCATCCGCCTCCGCCTCGCGGGGGAGAACATCCACGACGAGGCCCGTCGCCAAGCCTCGTCCCACGACTTCTCCGCCAAGTACGTCCCCTTCAACGCCGACCCATCCTCCACCGAGTCCTACTCCCTCGACGAGATCGTCTACCGAGCCATCCCCGCGGTCGTCATCTCCAGGTAGGCGATCCGAGAATCGTTCTCCATGGAGTCTATGAGAGAGAAGAGGAATATTGTTTTAATCGATCTGTCAATTTTTTTATTTTTTTTTTTTT